TTCACAGTCTGTACAAAGAGCACCTTCAATTTCATTAAAGTGTATTTGAATATTTCTACATACTGGGGTCCATAAACAGTATTGGAACTGCATAAACTGGGAATGACTGGAAAGCTGAGACACATACTTCCTGCCACCCCTGCATTAGTCAGTGATCCTTGTGTGTCACCCAGTCAAACCATTCTGGAAACGCCCCTGACTATTGCCACACTCGCTCACATTATGTCTATTTACAGCTGCAACATGACACTGAAACCAAAATGAACACATATTACTGCAGACACAGTAAGTGAAGTAGAACACTGAGCTAAAAAAGGTTTTAAAAGAGAGAAAGCACTTTCATTCCTCTTTCTGCTGGCAGGAACAGATTCTCCAACAGTGTTTTTGTTGCCACCATATCACACCTCATCACACAGCACATGGCACACAATATTACAACCCCACAGACACACACTGTACTTTGCTGTTCTGACCAGATGAGGGCGCCATGCTGTCACAGTAGAAAGAGAAGCCAGCTGAAGCACAAGATGAAACACATACTGTATATCGGCTACAAATTAAAGACCAAATGTATAAATGTGTAATAAGAATAATGTTAATAACCATGTGCTCAGTTGATACACATACAAAAGCCTCTAAAATCACCAGAACTTTGATCTAATAGTATATTCTATATGGTGCATATGGATCTTTACTGCTTTAAATGCTGTCCTGTGATGCAAGACTGGTTTTAGAACCCATCCAGGCTAATCTTAGCGATCACTGACTGTGACGGATACTGAAATCAATATTTAAGCATACAGATATTGACAGCTTTCCAGTGAATCTCTTACCCAAAATGCTCTGTAATCAATGCTGTCTGTATGTGGGAAGCAAATCTACATGCGAGGGGATGGAGGGATGGGGGGATGGGGGGGGTCTGTAAGATTTGTCAGGTGCTTTGTTGATGCAATTATAACGGATCAAGAATGTCTTTAGAGACGTGGGAAATCTTTGGCAGTGACTGTTTACTACTGGCTGTCACGTTTGTTTGTCATGGCTCTTCCAAATATCCATGACAGATGTCTTCAGGCCTCAGCGAGCTTTCAGGTGCCGGTATGAATGAAACGTAAAGCACAGAATCTCGTCTCTGTTAATGAAAGTGTAGCTTAGGGCTGTTTCAATGGCACCTGTAGCTTAGACTCTCCGCTTAGTGTGGATGTGGAGTGCTGAGCAGATGTGGCAGGTAGTGTCCACTAATCATTTTGGGCTGCAGCTGCAGATGGGCTGGATGGTCTTTCACAGCATGCTGACAGTGTAGATTAAGAATATTCATAACCTGGTCCACAGATTTGTCTTTTGAGTGCCTGTAGTGAGAATAATTCTTCTAACAACTATCCATTTTCCTTGATATCCACAGTGTTTGGGTACCTACATCATGAAATAATTCACTCGGTGGTTGCAAAGTAATCATTTCCCCTATATTCATTTATCAAATAGTGTCACGGTAGTGCAGACTGAGTGATTGGAACGACTATTACCACCAAATGTCCTCTAACAGAGCGCAATGGGACAGACAATGAAAATACCACAATTGAGAGGACTCATATTTGAACCTAAAGCTAGTGTTTGACACACAATAATGTCATGAAGGATGTGAAAACCAGCCCCCGTCCCACCTCCCTGTGACAAAGCGGCTTCTGCAACTGTCTTCAAAGAGTCTCATGAACACAGGCTTTAAAGCTCCCACTGAAATCCTCCAACTTATCCTGCTGCTACTACTCCACTACCATTTTATTATGTACACTTAAAAACATCTCTCTCCTCCTTTTAGCCAATCTGGCAGCATGGCTCTAATGATGGCAATGTCAGTCGGTCGGATGGACTGCATTCTGAAATTTAGTAGAAACATTAATGTCGCCCTCAGGCTCCTCTAAAAACCCTAACTTGTGCCGCCAGAAGGTCAAAATCTGAATTTGTCCAATAAAAATGCAAAGCTAATGACATTCCCATCAGCCTCAGCTGTACTTCATTGAGTGCTAATTAGCAAATGTTAGCATACTTACAACTCATATGGTGAACATGATACTTAATGAACATCAGCATGTTAGCATGCATTTACAGCCTCAGAGAGCAGCTAACGTGGATACAGACTCTTAGTGTTTACATTTTCTGCTTTTGTCCAACTTTGTTTTCTCTCAATGTAAGCTGTATCTCTTTATGAAAGGTTTTATATAAACATCTATTTCTAACTTTAATACTGAGAGTTCATGAATTGGCTCTGAGAATCTTACCAGTGCACTTTATTTCAGGAGATCCCTGTGCCTTAACGCATTTAACAAAGTCAGTGTTGTGAAAGGGAAGCGAGGACTTTACTTTGGATTACTTTGTTTTCATGTCTCTTTTGCAAAGAGATCTCGATCTCAGTGAGACTTCCTGAATAAATAAAGCTTAACTAAGTAAAACCACATCAAGAGACGGCAGCAGACTTTGAGAATG